GATGCTTTTTATAATTGGGAAATACCCTTTCAGAAGGTGACTGGATATATGTTTTTAAGGCTAATTTATGGCACTTGGGAATTGTTTGCATCTTAGTAGTGCTGTTGAAACCCTAAGCTTCTCAATGTTCCAGTAAGTTCCTGTGATGAGACTGCATAGGATCAGCTGAGCACACCAGCCTGGTAGCACTCGGTCTCCATTTTCCCCACTGTCCTATGTCATGTTATCTAACAGTGTTCCTAAATGAACTGCAACAACTATAAATCTTTCTTCAAGTCTTCAGCCAGCAGCGTTTCCCCAGCAAAGCAGCAGGTCTCACACTGGTTTTCCTTAGCACAGGGCTCTCTGTTGCCTGTAGGAAAAGGAATTAATCCCATGCTGTACATCTGCACAATGACAGATGTGGTGAGTCTTCCAGGAGTGGATTGGGGGAAAGGAAAGTGGGTGCAAAGAGTGTGGTGTTTCCCAAGGGCTGGGCAAGGCACAGCATGGGCCATGCTGCTCAGGCGCATGATTGGCCCCTTCACCAGCATCTTATCAAAGCTGACAAGTGAGTTTATTCAAGACTTGCAATATAAACATCAGACACAGTTATGTGGTTTGCTCATTAACTATGGTCTCCGCTGAGGATAAGGAAAATGACATATGGTACCTTTAAACTTTAAAAATCAAAAAGAAACTTGTTGATGATAGTATTTAACAAGCTGTGTTTTCAAGATAATATCTGCTGTACTGGCTCTTGCTGTGTGGCTCTAAGTTTGAAGATGCCATTGATGACTATTTTTACATTGAATTCTTCCTAGTGCTTATTAAAATTTGAAGTTCCATGTGTAAAACAGCCCACTCCCTGATATGTTTGGTGATAGTCTGAAATGACTTCATGCTTCCCAGCAATCCTATTCTAGGTCTGTATCTAGAATGATATAAATAATATTTATCTGCACCTATAGGTAACAATTTTAGATCTAAATCCAAAATAATAGTGATTTATCTTACTTAAGGCATTTAGCTTTTATATGTAAAGTAGATCAGCTTATATGTATTACAGTGAAGGCATTTGTAATGACCAAAGGTGAGGCAGACATAACTGATACTGTGGTTTAGTAACCACAACCAAAAATCCAAATTAAAATATAATTTCAGGCTAACTTGTAATAATTTTCTATTAATTTCTGGCAAAACAAGAACAGAAAATTACTGTTAATTTTTGTGGATTACATACCAAATCGCTGTCTTATTTAAAATGAAAACTTTCTTTCTAACATTTTCATTAGATGTGTATAAATCTAGCAACACAATTTTGGAATAAAAACTTAAAGCATTTGTTCTGAAGGTTTCTACCTTTCCTAAATTATTTTCCAGTTTTAAGTAATTTTTAAAAATCTCATCTGAAATCTCTCTCCTCTTCCTTTCCCAGTCCCAAGCCAAATTGAGATAGGCACCTCTCTTAGAGGGTATTCAGGTTTGGCTCTAGGATGCTGCTTTGGTTCACGTGGTAGCATGTCATTATAAAGAAACCAGGAAACAAACACAGAATCTTATACTTGGGCAGCCCAGAGGGCCATATCTGCATTGCTTCACTGCTGTGCTTCAAGAGCATTTTAGGTGAAATGCCATCTCAGACTAAAAATCAGTCTTTCCTTTGGCTTATTCAGAAGGCTTTCACGAGTTGCCTTATAAAGAACTCCAGTAATGTAATATTAAGTCATTGTTAGGGATACCTGCTGACCATGCTGCTACCTAAAATGGTAGCTTACTAAGGGAAGTTGGCTCAGACCATGATCTGTGTATCCCATTTCATAACAAAAAATTTGCTTATGCAGCAATTTTTGCATTTGTCTCTAAGCATCATTCTGAAAAAAAAAAAAGCACAAATGAGTGCCTATTCAAGCAGCTAGTAATCAGCCACTTAGTTATTAGTAATTCCTTCATTTTTACACTGGTCAAGAGAAGCTCAACCCATCCACTGAGGTTTTATTATTCAACTTTCATTAAACTCAAAACTTAAATCAGTGGTAAAATATAGGGGACAATGCAATAATTGCCAGTCATCAAAAATTCTTGCTGTGCCCATGACATGATATTGGTATGGGCTGTCTGATTTCTTTGTGGAGTAGAAGATGTTTTAGAAATGCAACTTACACCATTTCTGTGGTATTCTCAGGACATGGGTTGCATAATTGACTACAGACAACTTAAAAGCCATCTTAGAGTCTCATCCAGTCCTAGTAATGTGCATGTAGTCCCATGGGCTGCGTTCAAGGATTATGCTAATTTTATTAGCAACTCCTCTTGATTTAATTAAACTATACAAATTCCCACCTGGTCACTATTGTGCTAACACCCTTCCTTCCATTTTTATTTGAACTTATAGATAATTCTTGTTTTTGCTCTTCAGTTCTGATACTATGAATTATCTGTTGTGTTTTCCACATGAAGTAGCATAATTTTGAGGGGAATGAATAGAGGTTCAAACTCAGTTGTTGGGTTTGAGTGATTCTCTGGTTCGAAGCAAATAGAACACGTTTCCAAAGTCAGTTAGCTCTTCACAGCAGCAGATATTCAAAATAACTTGCTTTTTGAAAGCACCAAGCTGTCTGCTGCTGTTTAAAATACCTGCGAGCAAGCTCTGTATTAACATTTGCTTTACTGTGTTTATACCATGAAGCAGAGCAATGTGAATTCCTTAGTGGACTGTTAATTTACATGTTATACACTTTCAAATATTTCCAAAAGCAAACGTGAAATGATTAGTAATCCATTCACGTGCTCACAAAATGTTATTAGTAAAATGCCTTAGGCAGTAAGTTATGTTGACGAAAATTGATAATTTTATATTTTAAATCTAAAGTAACCTTCCCTGCCCCCAACAAAACTGAGGACCAGCCCAGAGTCCAGAGCTGCTGGTACTACCTGGAGCTGTGTGGTTCAGTTCTCAGTGTATGTTGAGCTGACAGGAAAACAAAAAAGTAAAATGAGATTAGAGCAGGCATCCGAGGTTTGCAGGGATTTCTTCTCTTCAGAAAGCCTCTCTGTAAGTTTTCTGTGATGTCCTGTACTTTAAAACAGCTCATTTTCTTTAAAGTCAGTGATTCTGACATTTACCAGTCTTTCCATCTATATGGACTTCAAAGACTGAACATTGCTATGGAGAAATCAAGCCTTGTTCTGTTTATTTCTGTATGACTTTGTGTCTGCAGTTGTGTGTTGTCCTAGCTGAGCCGAAGCTCTTGATGAAATGCTCCACAGAAAATGGTTAGCATTGTGCTTTTTCAAAGAGGACCAAAACCCAATTTCATTAATAGTTTTGTCCGTGTATCTCTTTATTGAATAACAGCTTCCACACCTTGTAGATTCAAATACAACATGACACTTCCTCCTAAATGCCAGTTATTCTGTTGTGAAGAGTTCTGCAAAAGTCTGGTCCTCGGAGCTTAGTCCCAAGCCCAAGGGATAAAGAATACAGTGTATTAAAATTCAGTAGAATGTGTTGTGATATAAAGACTGTGCAGAAACCCTGTGCTAGCTGACTATTGCTTGTATGTTTGCAACACATACTTTCCAGCTATTTACATTTATGACTACGAAGTAACTGAATAGAGATGTATCGTCATTTTCTTCTTTAGCACATGGGTGAATTATTTTACTGACATGTGAAGGGGTGTTCATATAACATCATGGTGCTTTGTGATAGAGAAAAACAATTACAGTGAATAAGGTAGAATGGCTCTGTTATTGCAGTACATAAGACTTTGATTACATACTGCCAAGATTCATACCAGTCTAGTAGTTGTTGACAGATAAAGTAACAAAAATGAAACTCATTTATTTTTTCTTTATTGCGACCTCAAGGTAAAGCAAATTTTCAGTTCTTGTACTTACTACACTGAAGGAACAGAGACTGACAGTCAAAATGTGCTGGTCTAGAAATATAAATTAAACCTAGTTTCATATCAAAGTTTCATTTAGTCTCTGAGAAGGAGTTGCTGTTTGGATTATTTTTGATCCTAAAACAAATATACTGCAGACTACTATTGTGTATGTGGGATGAGTTGACTCCCTCGCGCATTTAGCTCTTATGTATTAGCCCTGTTCAAAGAATTTTACAATTTGTTATGGACTTAATTATTCTACTTTTTTTCTCTATTTAGTCATAATTTACTGTTCTTGAAAACGAAGTGAACGTAAGGGTGATTTTAAAAGAGCAACAATCTTCTTGAAGGAAAGACGTATTTTGAGAGAAAGCTCATCCCTTTCCCTCTTGTGTAAAAAAGAATTGTTTTGGCTGATAGTACTGAGAGCTCCTCCAGGCAGCTAGATGCTGTGTTGGTCCTTGATAAGTCTAACAAATGACTTTTTTCGGTGTGTGAACTTGATTGGTTTCTAAAGAGCAGATACAACTAGCTGTTGAAATGGAAAGTGCTAAAATGAGTGTTTTTATCCCATCAAAACCTTGGATTAGCTACCTAGCCCAACTAAACATTATTGCTGTTCAGATTAATGAGGCAGTTTTCTAGTATCTCCTCTGTAATTAAACACTTCTGTGGTTGACTACAGTATTAAAGATGCACCAGACGTTGAAACCTCAGAGGTGAAATTTAAAACTGTTGAAATTGGAGGGGTCAGCTGTGAAACACAAATTCATCTGCAGTATAGGTAATTCACTTGCAAAATGCATTTCAAGAATAATTTGTCTTATGTTGGAGATGTTGAATTTTTTTATCTTTTTCTTATCATTCCATCATCTAAATTTGAGAATTTTTCTCATTAGTTCTCAAGTAAAAGTAACATAAAGTGCACTTGTTTCCAGAATTACCTTTTCTGACCTTTCACAAGATGATAATTGCAGTACTAGTAGGCTTAGAAGACTTGTTAAAAAAAATTAAGCTTATAAAGTAGCAAAAAATGCCCCTTTGCTTGCTGGTGTCGATTTCAAAATTAACATTTTGGTTCATGTGCTTCTAATAATCGCTGACCCTTACTTCGTGTGCTTTCCACAGGAAATGAGTACAGCAGAAATTACTTTGACCTGCTGATGGATGAGGAAATAAACCCAAGGCAGTGTGGGATGGAGGTCAGTGAAGAAGGTGAGGCAGAATTAAGTATGTAATTTTGGTGTCAGAATATTCTTTTCCATTCATGAAAATGAGGTGACAAAGATCACGTATGCAGTTCCATTTAAATATTGAGGTTTACAATTTAATTTATAAGTCTTACCTGCTCTGAACATGATAGGCAGCATGCAATAGTCTTTGATCAAGGACAGTGAGTTAATGGACAGGTAAAAGTGAGGCGGTGCTGTATTCACTCTCCCACCATAGCAATAATAATAAACACTCCAAGAAAACTATCTACACCATGTTCTCTTTAATTAACATACTTAGTCTACAGGTGAGTACCAAGCTGCAGGTTTTGCAACTCAAAGCCTTTGTTAGACAACAATTTTGTTAATAAGTTGAACGTCTGTTTGCTTAACAGAAGAGACACCCCAGTGTCCAGAGTTCCTAGCATAACAGAAGGCCTCTTTGGGTTTTCTTTTTACTAGTTTAGCCAAGATATTCAGCTTTGTTGTCTGTGGGTGATAGCAAGAAGTGGGAGGGTGTGATTGCAGTGCTGGGAGAAGTTATGCATAGGTGTGAGAGAGATTAACCAGGAGGTATTGTTTTTTTTCCTGTGCACGGAGGAAATTCTCCTTCACTTTTAGATAAAAAAGGGTGGGAACGGGCCTGCCTGAATTTGCATGGGCTTAGGTAAGAACATCATCATGGTAATGAAGTGCTTAGCTGTGATCTGAATGTTTTGGCCCAGCTCCTGTAGTTAAGCACAAACCTCCTAATAGCATGTGAGACCGATTTCTAAGTTTCTACCTCCCCATCCCTTCATTTTGTCAAACCTTGTGCTTATTTCTACTGCAGAACCTCGCTAGACACACAATTGTAGGCATATGTGGAAATAAATTGTGTAGGTATGAAAATTTGTCTACTGCAGAGTCTCAAAATGAGTCACTTTGGAAATTTGTGGGAAATTTTTATTTGCATAGATACCAAGATTTAAATTTTCAGGCAACCACGTGTGACAGAAAAAAGCACACTCTAGAGCACGTCAGTGACTTGGATTTCTGTGTACTGGTGAAAACAAGATGATGATTTTAGTTTTATTGAGGGTAAATTGCACCTAAAGCTGTAATTTTCCTATCCCTTGTGTAGAACAGCAATGATCTTTAGAAGTCAGCTTTTGGCTGAGAGTTTTCAAGTGTAAGATTTTTTTTTTGTCGATGCTGCCTTGGTTCGTCTTATGAATAGGATTCATGAATCATGGTCTTCTTTGTATCCAGAGAATGAAAAGTGGATTAGATTTCTGTATCCTTGTGAATGTGCCTAAAAGCCTGTGCGGTAGAGTGCTGACACCAGGAATACAAGGTAGTACAGCTTTTTGTCAGGAAAAAACACTCTTTTGGCCATGTAAGAACTGTTGTACCCATGTAATCTTTTTTCTTTTTTTTTAATCTGGAAGGAGGCTTTAAGAAAGTCCAGACAATAGTGTATCCTGCCAAACTTGAGAGACATGTATGGCTGAGCTTGGATGCTCTTCCTTTTTTTTCCCTGGCAAAAATCTCACTCAAATCTAGGGTAAGGCCTGCTTATAAGAGACCTACGAGTGACAGTACTGGCCTCAAGTTGGTTGTCTTGACATTTTCAGAGCAGTTAAAGCGCTGTATTGACCGAGCATCAATAGATGGCAGGTTGGATGTGGGAGCATTTATCTGAGATTAGTGATGCATAACTGCATGTCGTGAATGCAAGCATTATAGAAATAAATAATTTTTTGCTCCTCTTCATCTCTAGTAAACTGTGGAGAAGAGAATTCCATTCTTTTATCTTACTTTTTCTAACTTAGTTAGACCTGTTTTTCGTAGAGCCTTTTGGTCTGCGTGTTGAAGACAAAACACTGCAATTTTAGGTGAATTTTGAATTGCTTTCTTTTGTACAATCCACTGTGGAATCAGACAGAAAAACAATAACAGCTCTTCAGTAACATAATAAAACTTCACTAAAGCCCCCAAATACCTAATTATTTGACTGGGACCATAATATCTTTCTTTTCCTGGAATAATGTCATTTATAAAATGCTGATTTTTCTATGTTATCTCCTAAAATCTGTAGTGTAATCAACTCAGAGCCAGTGAAATGTGATACGTGAATGTCATGTCAGTTTCACAGTCATTTGTATGTCTATGAATCTGTCCATCCCTTAATTCGACAACAGACATCTCAACAACTCATTATCACACATAGTCATGAACAGGATGCTTGCCTAGTTTCCTGTTTTCCTTGCAGAATAAATGTTACATAAGTAGAACTGTATTTGTATGTAGTAGACAGAGTAAAAACAGGTCAGAACTGAAGTCTGGTCCAGGATGGTCATACTCTAACAGAAGAAACATACAATTTCCTTCTCTTTCCATCCAGGAAAAAAGGAACATGTGTGTCCAGGACCCTTGCTCTGTTTAAAAATCTGCAGATGTTATTGGGTATTTGAATGATAAACCTGTCCCAAGATCAAAATTCATAGTATACTGTAACTTCTACTCAAGCTAGATAATGTGTTAGTATTATGGACAGTAAGGTAAAAATTTTAATAAGGATCCAAAATCGTATTGCAGAAGAAATGAGGTACTTTGATTTTTATTATGAGTAAAATAGAATTCACCTGGCAATCTGAATATATATAATTAGTTCAGCAAGTCTATTAGCAGAATTAGAAAGCCAGTTTCAGTACAGACTAAGACATAATATTGATCACCTTTGAAAAATGTGCAATGATATATTTTTCATTTTAAAATGTCTTTCATAACGCAGAAGAAAATGACAGCTCTGCTGTGAGGCTCTACACTACAAAAAATAATCTGTATGTCAAAGTGTTTCTTTTGTATTTATTTATCTTTGTACTTTAAAATAATGTTCTCTGAAATACTGCTGAAAGAAGCACAGAAACATTAGATGTCTCACTGTTGTTTTGTTGTTGTTTGTTTATTTGTTTTGAAAGATCCTGTGAAATTTGAAGAGCAAATCCTGTATGGTAAACTGATGAAGCTTCTAGATGAAGCAAGCAAGATAATGGACTCTCAAGGTAAATATATATATACACATATATACACATATATACATATACAGATATAAACTATCAATTTCATAAAGGAAAACAAAATTCTCTTGAGACTGAATGAGAGCAGAAGAGTAGTAATCCATCCCTTTGAACTCAGAAGGAAAAAAAGGACAGTGATTTCACTGTGAGACTGTAGATCTCTTCCCCCGAATGCTTTTGTTTGAGTCCCATTTATGTAGTTTAAGCGTAACTTAGATGGTGTGCTTTCTTTATGCTATTTCACTCCTGCTAAATTCCAGGAATGAAGACTGGAAAAGTCCTTGCTTACATCCTTAAAGCTAGAAATCTAAGTCTTTTTTTAAGCCCATAAATAAGTGGGCTATTCTTTGTACCGTATGGTACTTCCTGTAATATTTCTGTTATATCCAAAGCATACTTTGTCAGAGGGATAGAGCAGGCTGTTGCCTACAGCAGTGGAGATCCAGGAACTTGTTTCCTGACTAGTTTGTGAGTCAGTTTATTCTAGAAGAGGCAAACTTTTCATTTGCCTGGGGTTGCAAAATCCCTTGATTTGGCATTAGTCATATCAGTAATATATTTGAAACCCATTTTGTCTTATTTTAAATGTAAGGAAAATAAAATACAACCAGCATATTCATGCATGTAGCTTAAACTTTAATCTTTAACACATTATTAGCAAGTCCTGGACTGATGCATGTTAATTTCAAGTTCCACATCACTGAGAAAGCTTAAAGCAGTGCTGTAGGTTGTGTGTTGCTTTTGTCTTACAACAGCATACATTAAAATAATAATAAAAAACTTGGTTGTGGTGAAGTCAATGTTAATTCTGTAGGAAAGATGGACACTGTCTCCTTCTACCAATATTTATGGCATTTCGTGGTCTTCCATAGCCTTATCCTCCAAATATCCCTGTGTGATTTAGGAAAATGTCTTGATGTCATTTACAGGCCACCCCAGGTAAGGTCCAATACCTTTTCAATTAGCCTTCTGAAAGTCTGCTGCTGTGATTCCCCCAGAATTCATGGGAGAGGGTGAGAGAAGCTGCTCTGGACAGCAGTTCATCTCATTTAACACATGTGGTTCTCAATTGGTCAGACTAATCACACCCTAGAAACAATTCTTCCCTTGCATTTGCCTCTGGAACCACCTTCCCCTTGACCAGAGCCATTTGAATGTATGTCATGAATGCACAGAGGATGATGATCTCCCTCTAGGGCTGCTGTGAGGGTGGGTATTGTGCACATGGAACCCTGACCTCACTGCCAGGTTTAATTCAAGGGCAGGCAAATACACTAACAGCGATGTCTGATGTTCCATGGGCATGCCAGAGCCCTGTGCCTATGCAAGAACAGAGTGAATGTGGGAGCTGCAGCAGTCTGCTGCCATCTTGTCTCAGCACTTCTATTTCATGAAAAGAACCATACAGGCATCAGAAGTAGTGCTGTGGGTGAATGTTGCATCCTTTCCCACCTGAATTTATTATTGAGGTTCTTTATGGCTTTGGTGAATAAAACTCTGAGAAGAGCAGAATTTTCTTGAGTAAACGAGGCTTGTTCAGTCTTCACCTCTGTGTATTTGTATGGAGCTGTATTTATTCCTGCCTTTCTGTTTCTCACTTTAAATTTTTGAACCTGTTTTCCTCTTCCAAAACCTTTTTTTTTTTTTTTTTTTTTTTTTTAACAGAGAACAAATCTCACAGGTCTGAGTTCCCTACCAGTTTTATGAAAGTGGGCAGCTGAGCAAAGCAGACAAATCTCCACTGAGGGAAAAGCTAATATGAGAATTTGACCCTAATTAGACATCTTAAAAAATTGTAGAAAACTGGGTTTCATTTGATTCCACTCTTATAGAAAGGCTTCTTTTTTTCCATTTGACCACTGAACTGAAAAATCACGTAGTCATACAGTCCTAATTAATAGATGATCCCCACAGGAAAAGAAAGAACATGGCTCTCAGAACTTATATCATTGCATATTTAAAGCATTTTGTTGCTGTTGGTCACTATTGTGGTACATGTTAAATCAGATTACAATCAACCTAAAATGTTGATTGTCTGCTTTTTAGAGAAGATGTAGACTGTACATTTTTTACCTAGGAGTAAAATCTGTCAAACAGTATAAAATGGTGATTTCTGTATGTCTAAATGATGCCAGGTGCCATAGAATAGAAAACATTTTTATTACATTTTTCTTTGAAAACAACAGAAAAATCAAAGCAAAATGTTTTGTAGGAACTTGGCTGTTTGATAAATGAGCCTTTGGTATGTTTTCTTTTTATTTAATAGTGTTCTGGAACCAAGCAGCCAAAATGCATTTTCCTTGTGGAGTTTATAGGTGCTTTATGCATTCAAACTTGCATTGAGTTGTAGTAAGCTGGTGAACCTGTCCTTTAAAGTCCCAACTCAGTATGCAAACAACTGCTCTCCAATGGACAAATGTAGGAGTAAATGAAGTTAAAAGCAGCCAAGTAATACTGGATATATTCTTTGAATTACATCATAGCATCGATAAATAAAGCCTTAATGAAAGAAGAGGAAGCCTTAATGATTTACGTTCTATTGAAGGTATGACTTGTGCCATTAAATACAGTCAAGGCAATCCAGTTTTTAATTAGTTTATCAACCTATCAATGAACTTCATTTCAAATTTTCAGCCATTTCCTCCTGCACATGTAAATCAGTAACATTTTTAACAGTGGCTAATTTGGTCAGCAAGGAGGTGGAGACTTTCTTTTGGTCAAGCTTTGCACAGAGGCAGCAGCTGGAGCCTCTTTCAGCACGATGCTGGGTCAGTTCAGATCTGGAGCAATGTATTGGTGACCAAGTTTCAGACGTTCCTTTGTAAAACAGCATGGAAGGAGCTACCAACTGAACAAACACATTGTCTCCTTGTCTCCAGCTCAATTTTTCCAGTGGTGCTTAATTCATATGTGTCTTTCCATCAAATAATTTTCAAATCTGAGCCATAACTCATGTTTGTATTTTTAGTTATCTGTCTTGGAAAGGCTTTAGAAAATGTTCTCTCTCTTCTTTAGTTCTTCTTCCACAAAACAGTCAGTAATGAGCTCAGTGTCTTCCACCAAAACCAAACCCACTTGATACAGTTCCTCACAACAATGATAAACACCAAAAGAGAAAGGCTATGTTGATGAATCACTGCATGATCGCCTTTCAGACTGAATGCTTTTCTTCCTTTTCTTGATATATAAAGACTCTCTATCTACACCCAGCAGATCTGAAATGGGAATGTATTGTCCTCCCAGGATGTAAACTTGCACTGCTCCTGTGAAAGCAGTAAGGCAACTGATTTATACCAGCTGAGCATATGGCCCGTTGTGTCAACACAGTATGGAACAGGCAATACTGCATCCTCTGCTGTTGGCAATGTTTTCATTTCCAGTGCTTCCTGGATTTTTTTCTGTGCTAGCCAAACCCTTAATGTTACAGTAAATTTAAATGTAAACATCATTTTGTTTTTGCAGTTAATAGTTGTAGGTCAAATCACTTTTCATTAGGCTTGTAAGATGCTACATGAAGAGATTCTGTGTACCCTAAGGTAATGGTTTAGGTTGTTTATATCTACTGTACACTTCCCCCAACTGATTTTGAATTTGTATCCTGTTGTAATTAAATTTAAAAAAAAACACAAACTACTTCCTGTGTGTTGGTGGCACTGAGGTGATTTAAGTGCTCAGAAGGCTCAACAATTAAAATCATTAAACAATGAGTAGTGCACAAAACTGAAAATTTTAATAGCCTTAGTTTTATCTTTCCTTTTCTGGTCTTCATTAAAGAATGAGGGACATCAAAGCAGAGAGAGAAATAAGTCTTTTAACTGCTTTCATGTCTTAGGGTAGGGAAAAAGGAAGGCAAATAACTAGATATGTCATTTTGTTGTAGAGAAAGGCAAGAATAACTATAAAAACATGCATTTATACACAGAAATATGAAGTCAGATGTGGACAACTTGATATCTGTCGTATCTTAGTGATCCTGATATGGAGAAATGAGCAAAAATAAGTGTCTTTATTATCTATGAGCCCAACTAATGTTTGTACAGATATCAATGAGAAGATGTGTTTTTTAAGTAACATGTTAAACTGCAGTGAAAAAAGGAAGGCTTATCTGTAAGGTCAGCTTTCTGAATGAGATTTATTTTTTATGTACATACAGCACTACCCTTTGGTTCTGCATACGTCATAGCAGTGAAATCAATGGAATGATGTGGGTGAGAGGAGAACCAAACCCAATTCATTAGGTGGGAGCTGTGTGAACACACCTGGGGGAGGAATCTGATCCTTCAGAGTGAGTGGGAGGAAGATGAAATGCTTGGTGTGGTTCTGCCTAAGCCTCCCTTGCAACTTCAGTTATTCCTAATCTTCCCCAGGAGTGAAAACCAAAGTCACTCCAAATCAAAATTCTATTTATGGGGGAGTGAAGTGACCATGGATTTCCAGAGTATCCTGTTTGAGCTTCTTAAGGAACAAGCTGTTCCTTTATGCTGACTTTGCTCTTAAGGGTAATTTTCCTCGTAATGGTATTTGGAATCTGCCACCTGCTTTATATTTACTTATTTCTTTTAATTTTGTGGTATGAATTGCTGTCTTTGTATTTTGGTGGACCAAACATTGCAAGCAAGAGGTACTAATTGATGTATGAAATCTCATTTGCTAAGAGAGATTCCACCACTTTTGTTTCAAGCAGCCCCTGTCACCAGTGAAGATTTTTCAGACTCCGTGATGCCTGTCAGCTTCAGTAAGACACATGACCTTCACAAGGAGCTTGAAGATGAAGTGATTCCTTCATATATCGAACAGTTCGAGAGAGATGTTCAGGATGACATAATTATGTTTGGCAGCTTTTCACTGGAACAGGTCAGACTTAAGAACTATGAGATAATTTTATCGCTGTCTTCATAACCTGATGCTGGCTTGTTGACCTTGTACACCCCAATTCTATTTCACTGCCCAATGATACATATATTGAAAGAGAAAAAGATAACCCATTTTATCGGCTTGCTTCATGTCACTGGAACTTTGCTTAGCTAACAGCAGAGCCTTTCTTTGTCTCTATTTCAGTGTGAATAAAAATAGATTGCTTTCATTGCTCCTTTCCTAAGTAGTAGGGTGTTCCTTACTGCTCTGCAGTAAGTATTGCAGTTGAGTTTCAATCAAGAGCCTAAGCTTAGGACATCTTTCTCTGACAAATTTAACAGAGGCTTATTCATCTATCAACAAGGAAGTTCAGATTGGAATCCAGGAAGGATTTATGTAGCAATATTTATTGTAGAGAGGCTACAATTATTCCCAGTTTATAAATCTGTTGTGTTTTTTCAGAGCGCCAAGGCTTCCTGTGGTTTTCTTTTTGTTATTTCATAGTTTGAAGAGACACGGTTGGGTTCATGTTGACAAAGACACAAGTTTTCAGGGCTGAAACGATACTTGTGGGCACCTAACTACCATTTGTCCCAATGAAAAATCTCATAGCAAGACTAGGGGACAGGAAGAGAGATTAATTGATGAATCTATCATTTTTAATTAGCAACATGAGAACAGCACACTGGCTCTGATGGGCTTAAAATAGGCTATCCAGTGACTAATGGTGATCTAAGCTTTCTTTTATTTTCAGAGAAAGTTTTTAGAATTTTTTCATTGCAAGACCAAGCCTCATCATTGCCATGCTGATGTTTGTGGGGACACAATTCCCTTCCTTGCTCCTTCCCTCTAAACCCTAGTGTGGCTGTATTTCATTCTGGGTTTCATTTTCATTGCATCATACATGGAAGGTGATTTGGATTTTTTTGAAAAGTTGTTCAGAGAACATGAAGAGGGAAAAAATATCACCTGCTTCACTGGGCTGATGGAGTGAGAACCTGGGAACAGTTGAATTTTGGGTATAGCAATTTTCCAGAAGACTTTATATTATGTCAAGAGTTTTTGTTTTAAGTTTGGGATATTCAGATGCCCCTAAATATTTGTGAGTCTCTGTAGCACATGAAAGAACACAATAGGTTTGTCAGTTCTGTATTTACCTTCCTTCTGAACATAGTTAGTGGGAGGATCATTTAGACACACTTATTTCATTTTTACCTTATTTTGCTTGGGAAAAAAAAAAAAAAAAAGAAAAAAGAAAATCCTTATTTAAAGTGATTGAGCTAGTCTGCCATCAGGATAGGTTCTGTAATTGCAGATGGGTACTCAGTGCTTTGTACTGCATAGAAAAGATTGTGAATGACTGTTTTCCATCCCTTATTCCCACAAATCTCTGACTTCAGCTGTCCAAGTGCTATTCAGGAATTCAGTCATACTGGCATGGTACAAGATGTCACATTCGCATTGCACAATGCTGAGTATTACAGGAGGATCACTGTAAAATCTATATTGGCTTCTACCTCATTGGTTTATGTGCCCATCCTTATCTTGGAAGCACACAGAAATGGGACATTCAGTTGCTTTCAACAGAAAACACAAGATGACATTGGAAACTGAGGTTGCAAATGCACGTCTTATGTCATATTAGTATTCCAGTGCATGTAACAAAGATGTGAGCACTCTCTGGTCCTTAATATGCCTTCTGTCCATGGTGTGTGGAACAACCTTTGTGATACTGCAGTGCTGAGTACTTTCTGTAGCAGCTTCAAGATTGGTGTTGGAGTGCTGTCCTATTCTTTAGAATCTGCCACTGCTATCTTTGGGATAATTCCAATTTTTGCTACTTGATTGTAGATTTATTGGTTTGAAAAAGTCTTTGATTCATTCTGTGGTATTTACTTTGTATTGAGAAAAAAAATCCTTCCCTTCCATCTGCAGGTTTAGTGAGTAACAGATGTACTTTAGCCAGCGTAATTTATGATTAGTTAATTTAATCTGCCACAATGACATAAAGTGAGCCTGAAACAAGCTTCTATCAATTCTGCCGTTAGAGGTAACATAATATTTTCAAATGTCTACCAAACTGAGTAATTAACCCTCAGGCTGAGTGAAGGAGTCTAATAGACATCTCTCACATTCCTTTGCTTTGACAAAATGAAAACAAGACGTGGGAGCCCAAGAGTTAAAAATAACAAATGATAGTTTACAGTGCATGAGAATGGTTTCATAACTGAGGTTCAGAAACACACCTGAGTTGACTCTGCTTCTTTTTAAGCTGCCAAAAATGTCCTCCAATAAGGCATTTGATTTGCACTTGAGCTTTGCTGGCAGCATTGGCACAGGGACATCCAAGCATTAACTCTACCTTATAGTTCAGTACTCTCCTCCTCTGCTTTTAGCTTCATCATAAATGGATGGCTTTTATTTAAATAGAAGCTCAGTGTGTGAGATCATCATGATTAAAAGTTTTTGAAACAGCTGATGCATTTTCTGTAGGGGGGTGAAAAAGGGCTTTGCAAGATTTTAGCTCTGAAATTCTAAGCTGAGTCTTTGTTTATTATTCTGTTTTGTGACTGTAAAAGCTGATAGCTGAGGTCAACAAGGAAAACATAAGGGGAGATCCAATAGTTTGTTGTAAAGAAACATTAAGCAGATATCAATATTTGATTAACAAACATATTGAAGTATATTAAATTCTGAATGCAGTTCTGTTTCCTGCGGCCTACACTGCAGCCTTACAGATTTCAAGAAGTGACATTTGCTTTTAATAAAGAAAAATGAACAATATTAAAAGAAAATCATAATTTTGGGCCTGTGTTCCAGGTGCAACCAAAGCAGGCTATGCATTACCATGAGATAATGGAGAAATACATGCTTATGGGCAGAACTAGATTGTATGGAGCAGAGAAACGTACACAGGAGAGACCTGACATAATTCTGCCTTAATGTGTTTGATTAAAGAAAAGATGCTTTCAAAACATGTGAGACTGCTGAGGATGTAGCAAACACTGGAAACTGGGGTGAGATTGTACTTGGTGATAACACAATCTTGCCAATCCTTGGCTCAAATGCCATGGAAAAGTACCAGGTATAGGATTTTCAGCTGTTTCTGAGCAGAGACAATAAAAATGACTACTTGAGTTTATGTGAGTTTTCTTAGAATTTAAGAGTGGTGCAATTATAGGGACCAATACTTCCTCAGCCATCAAGGATATCTATTCCTGCTTGGCCATCATCTTCCTGTGTCTTGCCCAGTGTCCTTGACTACATTTTGTCCTCAACCTCTTCTTTCTCTGTAGAATTCAGATGCTGCATTTAATCCTCTGTGCTGGCATAACACCTTGCAGGACTTGATCATTACAGCCATAGAATCAGTTTTGATACATGTCTTCAATAGAGATTAATAAAGAACCTCTGGAAGCAGAGTGCAGGTTTTACTCTTTGGTACAAGGAGTTGAATGGTAGGAAATGAGATATTTGTTGCAGGTTGGATAATAGTATGATGTTGCCTTTCATTGAGAGATTTACCTTTTGGTTAAACAACAGTTAATGCCTCTGGGCCTTAGACCTAATATTCTTACAGGGCTAATGTCATCATCCTTGCCTTGTCAGAGAGATCAATTTATATGATGATGGGATTATTAGTTTTCCATTGATTAATGCTGGATAATGTGGATAAATTTGGTACTGTGAAAGATAGCAATGTGTCTTTCCTCTAACAAATTCAGTGGAATAAGGCCTCAGACATATAAAATACAAACACACATCTACTTGCATGTTCTACACTCTTGGATAACGCTGTCATTTTTATCCCAGTGGTATCTACAGACCTCCCCCTCATTAAAGCTGTAGCCTGTTAAGTATTGCACCATCCTGTGTGATCATGTGTGAATATGATGCTTGTGTGAATATGTGCACCTAAAAGCAGTCTGACTTTTCTGCACTGAAACCTGGCTGCTTCTTTTTGACATTTGCCAAGATTTTATATGGCTATGATGTTCCAATTAGTCATTTCTTTAGTTTTATTGAGAATTGTAGGTTAAAAATACAAAAATTGGTAATATTTCTTTTACATCACACCTTAAAGGTGGGTTACTTTGCTGTAGCTAAGCTACTTATGTGCTACTCTCATCTGAGTTTCAAAGCTTCTCCCTGGTCTGTTAAAATCTAGAATCATAGAATGGCCTGGGCTGAAAAGGACCTCAAAGATTATCTAGTTTCAACCCCCCTGCCACCAGACCAAGCTGCCCAGAGCCACATCAAGCCTGGCCTTGAATGCCTCCAGGGATGGGGCAACTACAACCTCCCTGGCTAGCCTGTTCCAGTGCATCACCACCCACTGATATAATGATTTCCATTTCATTTATGTGAAATAACAGGAAATATGTGTGTCTTCATTTTACTGAGGAAGAAGAAGGGCACAGGTAGACTGAAATCTACAAAGTGCTTAGCACTTTGTCTTGGAGTATATCATTAGGATACGCTCGTCAAGCTCATAATAGTCCTGCTAGGTAGCCTGCTTTAGGACTGCAGGAAAAGCATGTTGCTGAAATCTAAGCTTGAGGGGAAAAACACGAGGTGAACTTCTCAGAGCCTGGAATATCAGGTTTATTGCATTGGACTTTGTATTTTCATACTGTCTTATGAGATTCTATGACCATCAGGGAGACTATGACCACTCACAGGGCAGACTCGAAGCCAAACCATATATGTAGCCATGGGACTTCTCCACAATGGCAATCTGACATTTCTAAATATCTGTTTTTTCTGTCAGGCTCACTCCTGCTTCCTCAGTAGGAAGCCTGGGAGCATTCCAAAGTTCAAAGACTCCTCCCTATTGCTTCTGAACACTCAGATTTACAGATTTCTTCTTCTGGAGACAGAGAGGATGGAAGGGGAAGGGTGGAAATGAATCTCAACAGAAGCAGAATTCCACAAAAGATGTTTTACGTGTTTGTCAAAGACTTGTCGCTGTGCTGTCAGGAAACCCACAACATTGATATAGCTGCTTTTTCAATTGCATTTCTCTTTTGACTGTTTTGTTCAGGAGTTATATGAATTTTAAGTCAAGTAAATAATTAGATAGCAGTAATGAAAATCATGTGAAAGTATTTTATACTTCACCGAAAAGGATTTCATTTATTTTTTACTGTGTTTTTTTTTTTTTTTTTTTTAAG